TAGCAAAAATATGTTAACAAACCAAAACGGTTCCCGTCCCACTAGAAACAACGAGCATACGATACATAACCCTAAAGCTAGGACGGCATAGCGATCACATTTCTACACCATAAGATATTTGATCATATGAATTCCCTACACAATTATATTCGTAAAAGTCACAGTATAGTTGAGCTTACAAAGAAGACCAAACAGTTCTTCTCAAATGACATCACGTATACATTCCTAAAGAAAATAGGACACTTTGCCAACCAGTTCTTTAACATTGAAATCGGACCAAAAGGGATATAATATTCCAGGAGAGTTTCCACACATGGCAGGGGGAACTGGCCACCGTTCAAGACGCGCAAACGTCAGCAAAGCAGAACTTAGGCAAATGTGTGCCTTGCCTGCTTTTCCAGTCCTTAAAAATAAAAAAATTAAAATTGAGAAAATTTTATCTTTTCTAATATTCTTCGACTAACATCATAAAGTTTATAAAAGTTCTTATGAAGAAAAATGTTTTCTCTACAACTTTACTAAAATATATATTGCTTCCTCTTATAACGTATCAGTAGTATAAATGTGAAGCACGTTTTAGCAAGATTTCTATCTCACTTAGACTGGATAGACGACAAACGAAAGATCAAGTGCCTTCGGCCGATGCACTTGAATGACGATGGTGCTTCGCAATCAGCTTCCAGCTGCCTCGACCCACCTCAGACATCTGCAACGTCCCATCTATTTATCAAAATCCTGCCGATGGACGAAGATTGTAATCTCCATGTCGAACAAATCCATACATACGGATGATGCGATGCCCTCAGCTGATTATTTCGCCTTCAAATTGACCGTGGCTAAATTCACCGCAGTTAAAGCACATGACAGTTTTTCCAGATCCAAAGTATTCTTACTATGAAACAGTAACACGCATAATGTGTGGCTATTTTATTTCATGTTTTGCTAGTATTGTACCCTTGAACTCAGTTTTTTCACTTAAAACAAAGTCCTTATTTCGCACACTATTGATTAAGCATAAGACCTAACAAACCCAATAGTGACTGCAAAAGAAGGGGCTTGTTTTAGGTTTTTTCCTGCCTTCCGGCGGTTTTTGACGGCGCCAAAGATGTGCTTTACAAATAAACCTTATTCTTCACCTGGGCTTGGTACCGTTATTCATCCAAGGAAGCTGGAGGCGGGAGTGCAGTTTGCGTGTCAGGCGTGGAATGGCACCTAGGCATACCATCACATTTCCGTCAGTGGCATGTCCTACGGGTACGCATCCCCAATATCAGCTCTCAGGCCCTCATTGACGATCATTCTAGCTTTCTTTGTACGTAAGCGCAAATTCCCACGGTTTATAAGGGCCAGCCAAATGTTAAGTTTATTATTAGCCGCTAGGAGGCAACTTTATCATAAACTGTTATTAAGAGCTGTATTGTGTTGCAAACGAAACTATATTACCACAAAAAAATCAAACAACTTCCTGTTACTTCACGCGTTCCTGTTGCTCCAGCGCATCTGCTCTGCGGCCCGTTCAGGGTACAAACAATTGATGATCCCGCGTCCCTCGATGATGTAGTGTACTCGGTGGTCATCACTGACAATGCTAGTCGAACAGTTGTGTGTGGTGTGTCTGAAAAACTGAGAGTCAGGCACAGCGTGTCGCATTTCATTTCGCAAGTGTCCTCGTGAGCTAAGAGATTAGTAATCAAATGGTGCAGCATGGAACACTGCCGTCTGATAGTTATATGGGGATTTCTTTAAGGTCAAATTGAATAAACATTATGCTATGAACTTACCCGTCTCCAGTGAACGTACAACTTAAAATAATCAAGCAAAAATTCAAAGTCCTTCACTTGTCCCCGCCCTCATGCATCTGATCGGGTCATACAGACGCTAGCATAACCTGGGCGACAGATAAACGACGAAGTGGCGGTCCACAAATTCGAGATAGATAAAGATGTAAACTTCACAACCCCCACAATAATACCATACGCAAAACATAAGATCAGATTTAAACGTGGACATCAGATGACAGGCCATTATCCCGTTGTGTCGATTTGAACGTCGGCATACAGAACTCTGTTTAGCCATATCCCCACCCGCCTTGCTAACCTTTAACCTGCTAACAGATCGGCTGTTAGGCCTAGCCAGTTGCTGCATCTTATTCCATTACTGGTGAGCTGGGAGACTGTAACAATCAAACGGTATACTGGAGAGGGAAAATTTACGAAGACATTTTTCTGCAACAAGTTACTGCATGCAGGTCTGAAAAGATCACGCTATGCTGTCAGCTAAGACTTGAATATCGACTTATTGGTCTGTGGGTAGTCTCTATTTAGTGATACGAGTCAGACTGCAATAGTCTTTTGTCCACTTTGCCATTG